TGCCAAAGACTGAGAAATTAATGCATCGCTAATTAATGACTGTTAGCAAAAACCTTTATGTCAGTATTTCCCTCCTAAAAAAATAGTAGTTAAACTTCAAGTATAATCTTATAATGGGACCTTTGCAGAAACGACCTTTTCCCCGGTTGTCAGACTCGGACCAAATGTATAGGTAGGTTCTAAGATGACGTGGTGTATACTGTCAGAATATTTCAGATATTGTAGTATTCTAATGACTGACTATAATTACTAAGTTATACAAAATATACTTTAGAATACTAGTAATTTAAAAAAAAAAATGGCGTTTTTTTTTGTAATACTCTACGATTAAAATCAACGGGCAATTTCTTGCTGAAGTGTACAATATTTCTATCTACACGTTGAGACAATACATGATTTTGTAAGCTCAGTTATGTAAGGTATTTCGTCGTAATTTTAGTGACTAAAGCAACAAGGGGTTGAGTCTGCTGGCGGACTTTCAGTCGCCGAAGTTTACTGTATTATGTTAAAGTTTGTGTTGCAGCCAACATATTTAAATTTTTAACGTTATGAATGGGTGTTTTTTTCGCTCTTGCTCCTTTTCATCATATTCTACGTAATTATGTTTCTGAAGACACAAACATGGAATTTTCATTCCTTTGACCAATAGTACAGTTTGCCACATCCTCGATATCCAGGAGTTACGCTCACTTTCGCTCGCTGCACCCCTGGAATATGTCAAAGCAAACTCGGAGACTCTATGTGCAGTACCTTGGGTATGAGAGGAGAAGACAAATTTGATCCTTTGATTTTCATCAAAAGAATCTCGCGGTTGCGTAACGGTAAAACTTACTGGCTTTTGAGCCGGGCGTCGCTCCGCTGTAATCTTCAAAGAACAAGTATCAGCCTAGTGATTGGTCAGAATATTTTACCCGACACCAATCAAATAGCTAGTCGCGTGCCTTTAATTTTGCTATGACACATTCCAGAGAGCGTAAGTGAGCGTAACCCCTATATATGGAGGATGAGTTTGCCACTAATGAGTCCTATATTGAATGACCGTAAGATGTAGTAAAGCTATTGCATTGTTTGACTTTCCGCATCTACAATCAAAATTTAAAAATAGCCATTAGGTACTTTCATTTTTTCGCATTTCTCGTGAATATTATGGAAAGCTGTGGGAGAAAAGTTCAGATATTGACAGACAACATCGTAGATGTTGCTACTGAAAATTGACTGTGGGGGTCCCACTTCCTATCGTCTAGCCGTACCACTCAGATACACATCATGGCTGTATATCAGTGTTTTTTGATATCTAAGTGTAAGCAACACCGGGTATCGATTCAAGAATTGAAAATTACCCAATCATGTTGAAATCTAATATAACTTATCTCGCCCGAGGATCTGTGTACTGTAGGCTGAGGGAGGTGCGCGGCCGTGAGAGATAACAAGATCGTGTGAACGTGAGCACTTCATTCAGAGATTGCAAGTGGCGAAGGCAGAGCGTTCGTTGTCATGGCTGCTGTCACGTGTAGGTGTTGACGTATGAACTGAGTGATAGGTGCCCGTATGATAACGTCCACTATCGCACAGCTGGTGCGCACGTTATCGCAGCGTCTTGTTAATTTGAAATTTATTGATGTCAATGTACTTGTTAGAACTGTCTACAAACTTCTCCAGATAGCTTCTCGTTCATCATGCTATATTGAAAGAATTTCGTATCTAGAAGTATTTGGGGTTCTTTATCAAATATATTTAGCACCAACGTCTATTTTTTGGTGTGTTTTTGCAGAAGCATACATGACTGACATTACGGTAAGTTTTGTATGTTATACAAAACGCAAATACATTTTCCCATGAAAAATGTGTGGTACCGGTTTGTATATATGTGCTACAGGCCTGAAATTATGTGGTAGTGGCCAGCAAATGTGTGGAACCGTTTAGTAAAAGTGCGTTTATGGTCTGTAAATGTGTGGTCCCGATCTGTAACTATGTGTTTTTAGTCTGTAAATGTGTGATGCAGGCCTGTAAATGTGTGTTTTCAGTCTGTAAATGTGTGGTACCGACCTGTAAAGATGTGTTTTCAGTCTGTAAATGTGTGGTACCGACCAGTAAGTATGTGTTTTCAGACTGTAAGTTTGTGGTACCGACCTGTACATATGTGTTTTCAGTCTGTAAATGTGTGGTACCGACCTGTAAATATGTGTTTTCAGTCTGTAAATATGTGGTACCGACCTGTAAAGATGTGTGTTCAGTCTGTAAATGTGTGGTACCTGCCTGTATATGTGTGGTTTCAGTCTGTAAATGGGTGGTACCGACCTGTATATATGTGTTTTCAGTCTGTAAATATGTGGTACCGACCTGTAACTATGTGGTTCCTTTCTGTAAATATGTGGTACCGACCTGCAAATATGTGGTTCCTTTCTGTAAATATGTGGTACCGACCCGTAAATGTGTGGTACCGGCCTGTATATGTGTGGTACCGACCTGTATATGTGTGGTACCGGCCTGTATATGTGTGGTTTCCTTTCTGTAAATGTGTTGATCCGGCCTGTTGATTTAAGTTAAGTGGCTTTTTCAAAATGGCGACCAGCCTTCTTGTCAAGTGTAATGGCATAAGAATATTGTACCAAAATTGAAATTCTATGAAATCCCTTTCTTTTTGATGAAGTAATGTTTTTCATCGTTTTAGATACTAACAATGCCGTCACGGGGTTTCCGTTGCATACCATAGATTTTTCACTCGGATGGTCTAGATTTCCCCTCGTGCTTCAGATTCGGGGAAAATATCGGTATTCTGTCATAATCTTAATCAACAGGAAACTATTATAAATTCCATTTACCAATCGAATATGTTATATCACTTATTGATATTAAATAAAACCGCACTGCTTCTTGAATGGTAATAGTATGTTGTCAAATATATCAGTTTTATAATTGTTAAGACGTTTTTACTGCTATAAAAATTCCTAAAATATGATAATTTTTGAAATTTATAATCTCTTTCACTACGACCTTTCGTTTGGACTCATTAACCTTTCCTTGTGACGTAACAGCAATATCTTTTAGCTAATTCTTTTGGTGTATTGCATCTCATTAATAAAAGCTATTGATCAATTAGTAAGTAATGTTCAAAGGATATTTCACATGCTCTTTTATGTGAAAAACATAAACGTATAAATAATGAGACATGAAATGAGTATTTAACGGAAAACCTGTAATGCTATACAGTACAGCGTCATCTCACAAAACAACCGTTATTTAAAGTCACCAAAAAATAATAACTAAATAATTGATTCATTAAATGAATAAATAAAATCAATAAAAAAATATATTATCAAGGAGTTTTCAACTTTTTAGTAAAGCTTCTATATTTTAGGAAAGCCTCTATATTTAACTTTCGAAAAATATATTCAAAATTAATACTTTATTGCAAGACCATGATTACACGTATTTGTAAATACACAATTAAGACCATCCAACTTTAATATTAGTTCGGTTCACGTATCCGTGAATATACACGAGTAATGTCGTTTGTCCGAGAGACACCCACAAAGAAAGGAAATGCCCACATGGATACGTAGAGACACCCGTTCGCCGTGTGCTATAGAGCCCAATTCAATCAACATGCGAGATAAGAATGCTTATCCATCACTATATAGGTAACCGTGCAAAACGTAAACCTCTGTAGGGAATGTATCACAGACACCGCCCACGTTACAAATACACTGTTCACGGCCATATCACACTGCAGGTGTTCCTAATGTAAAATGTCAGGGTCCAGTTGTAAACTGATCGACTGATCTCGCGTACTTATTATTATGCAAACTGTTTGTTCTGTTGACACTGAATTTACCTTACACTGTTTCTATCTTAAGACACCAAGGACTGTGGAGTCGTGTTGAGAGTGTCATATGTGGTGGAGGAAGTGCTACACCAGCTGGAACACCTAGGCCAATATCGATGAAATCGTTCCCGTGCTCGAGCGCATATTCTGTGCTTAAACCAACTTTCTTGAAACTGTCATTGATCATATGACACGGCCAAAATTGTTAAATGTTAATATTTTAAGTGGTATTAGACCTGAAGTTTGACCGAAATTCGTCCAAATCATTGACAAAATGTGATGCCTTATTATTATATCACCATAGTACGAAAGTTGGCTTGAGCAATGATACGGGCCCTGATTCCAGTTTCTTGTGCTGAGCTCCACACGCAGCTTTTCTGCCGGAATTGAAGTCTCCACTGGTACATGTGTACCATGAACTGATATACAAATGTATTGATCTAGATCACAAAATTCATACTTATCGTGTTCAATATGTAAACATCTGAAATATTTCTTTTTTTCACAGACATTTTCATTACATAAGTTAATGATAAGTTTGTACTTTTGCAGTTTGGTTTTGTTATACTGTACTTTAATCATTCATCAGTTAGCGTTAAGCACGCGTGTTGAGTAAATGTCTAAGTATGTTTGTACACGTGGTATGTTAAGCTGTATTATATATATTCTCTTTTTAAATGAATATTTCTGTTTGCTCTGTGAGTTATATTTTAGTAAATCTATCAACTTTGTGAGATAGTGTTATACGTATTTCTGTTCACCTTGTGTGTAAGACTGTAGTAAATCTGTTCTAGTGGACCTGTTCACCAATTCGCTTAATTTGAGTAAATCTATTAACTTTTCGAGATAGTATTAATTATAAATGTTCATTATGTACGTTTTTGATATTCTTGTGTATGTTTACGTTGTGAGTTAACATTTATACATTTGAAATTTTAAAGGTCTGTTCATGTTTTGTTGTCAAATTGCAGTGCATTTGTATTTGTGATAACGGAATTTGCCAATGTTCAACTCATTTACCCAATTTGCTTGTTTATTGAATAATAGTTTTGGATTATGTTTCAATCAAGTAAACTTTCGTGTTTCGTTTGATGTCATTCTCTGAATAAATTATAAGGGCTCTGATATCCAACAAAGTCCGTATATAACAGATAACAAGGACAGGTGGATGATGTTATAACTCTAGACTATGTTCATTTTCAATGAGTAATAATAAATAACAGTTTCGATAGATTTAAACACATTTAACGTAGCATTGTTCAGTTTATATATATATACAGTATCTAACCGACATGGATTTCAGTTATAGATTAATATTTCACGCCATTTCACAACATTTCATTGTCTTTTTGTTCCTGTTTTACTCCGCGACTGTGGCGGAAGTGACGTCAAATCATCATGTCACTGCAGCTGGACATTTCGTCATGGTCCATGTGGGATTTCAAGTGATCGGGAGACTTCCCATCTGAACTTGGACTCGCCTTTCCTCCGGTGAAACTAAACGGCCAGGTCTGAAACCAAAACCCCGAAAGCATGTGATTAATGATGACACAGAATACAGAACAAAAAATAGTATGGAGAGTACAGAATGAAATAATAATAATAAGACTCGGGTAAATATGGAAAGAAGATGGCGGACGCTCGCGAGTGAAAGTTGTCTTCTATCCTGAGGCCGTCAACCTAGCATTCTAGACTCTAGCAATATATTTAGTTTATGTTTATCATGTAACCAGGACCTATAAATGTAAAAAAAATCTAAAATGTATTCTATGAATAATCGGGTAAATATATAACATCATACAGTTTACATGACGCACAAACATAAAAATGAAATATTGTCATAATTTAAAGACTCCATTTGTGCAAGTTAACGCAATCTCAATTTTAACGGTACAAAAGGAATTAAGAAAAAACCGGGAATTGTTTAGACTCTCTTGTAAACAATTTATAAATGTTTACCACCAATATTTAACATAAATACGATACACATATTATATTTTATATGTATAGTTAGTTTGGATACTCATACATTTTATCTAGTGCCTTTCTATCTATAGAATTCACATATTTGTATGATCATTTGTAGTGTGTGTAATAATTGTTATTCGACATTTTTAGAGTAGTTTGATAAATAAATTAAAAAAGAGAACTTGTGATATTTAGTCCAATATTGTTACTGTCGGTGATGGATAAATGAAAATATTCAATTCGGTAATTACTTAATTGTGAAAGGCCCACACTTCGCCGCCTCTGCTGAAACAAGGACAATAATTGTCAGAGATTATGCGGAGACGTGTTTTGAATATGGGAGATAAAAGTCGAGGCAGTATTGTCCATGTAGAATATTGAATATAAATCATAATTAAGTACTTAGAGGCGTTGATTCATAACGCTGATGTGTCGCCGTGTGAAGTCCTGTACTTGTGGCTTGTTCAGCCTAATTAGGCTCATCGACCTTGAATGATGAAGCGCCGTCCTTTCTTAACGATTTATCAAGATCAACAGAAAATCGTCCACTTAAAATACTAATTTATGGGTCCTTTTTCGTTGTATGATAAATCATAATTATGAAAATAGTCGGTGGCATTTCACAAGAATAATCCTTGAATATGTCCGGAGAAAAATTTACTTTCGTCTGAGGTCATAATTTACCTGTACGGTAATAACTGTCCATTTGGACCCTCATCAGCGCGTGCCGGCTCCCGACTGTGACGTCACAGCACCGGCCCCGACAAGAGGTTTATATGGAAAGAGGGAGCCAGTTTATAACAGTCAACAGTTTCCTATCTAATTACCGAGAGAGATGTCTGTGGCGAACTGTACCATACATTACAGCAGTGTCTGTGGTCCTCCCCACTACGTTGTTGGTCATGCCACCGTGAACTACCTCACAATGTGACAATGTTACTTGTTACCGTATAATTTACGCTACAACAATCAAATATCCTTCATTTCACAGTAGTAAATGTCTTATGAAAGATGATATGGTGTGTCAATTTGATTTATGAAGAGACAGTTTAGAATGAATGATTTACGGCCCCTGGGCTGTGTTGTCGAGTAGTTGACAACCCCCTCTCTACCTTCTCTTGCAACTTACCACACCGGCACCACAGACTTTTACAAATTAGGAAGACAATGATACATTTCATTTAGGAAATTAGAAAAAAAGAAGTATTGTTGTGAGAAGCTATGTTTCGTCGTTACATATTATACCTCTATAGCAATATTTATTTAGTTGTAGTAAAAACAGATATATTTTTTTATCGAGCATACCAATTAAGAAGGAAATACCTTTTGGAAAATTTTGTAGGTCAATAAAGAAAACGAAACAAAGTAAACATTTACTGTACCATATGACCATTGGGGCCCGTTAAGACTCATCAGCATTATCAAAGATCAAAAGAATGAATTGACATGTTTTATTCTGAAATAAAAAAAAAATGTAGGAAAGGTGTACTATGACAATCTTTTGTTTGTCTGTGTTTTACGTCCTACTAACAGATATGGTCATATAAGGACATGCCCGGTTTCGGTGGTGGAGGAAAGCCGGAGTACCCGGAAAAAAACAGGGACCTGAGGGTAATACCTTGGAACTGTACTGAATTAGGTCCAGCTAGAATAATTCACTCTGTGACGTAAAGTATCGTATATCGCGCCATTTCTTATTCCATATTATCTGCTTAAGGTACATTATTTTCTACTCTCAAGGTAACTCAATATTTCCAACCACAACATACTTTTTCTGGATGACTATACTGTAAAATCACTCATTTTCGTGTGGTTCCACGAGGTAATTATAAGCTTGCTCTAAATACACGAATTATGTGTTTTCATCCCCCCCCCCCCCCTCTGTTTCAACAGTGGTTAACACCGTTTTGGATTTCAGACTTATTGCCCCTAGATCATCACCGATAAATCCAATAAGGGCGAAACAGGTGTATGACGCAGTGTAATTCGGTTTTGGCAAACTGTGTTGATTTCTACATTATTAAGGTTCAATCACCTTTGCTTGTGTTACGTTCATCTTCCATAGAAACATAAAGGGCCAGCATCCTTAGTAACAGAATAACATAAAATATCATACTGAAAAAAAACCCCATCAGCGATACCAATGTGCAATAGAAACAGAAACAGAAGTAAATTTCATAACAAAGGGATTGCATTATTGAATAGTAATCTGGAACTGAGATATGGAGAGAATTGAAAAAAAGATATTTGCAAAAATGTTTTTACATTTTGCCATAATTCCATCGAACTTGAATTCAACTAAGGTTTACGTAAAAGAATGATATAGTATACCGTTTCTTATTCAATATTATCTGCATCGAAATATAGGTAAGGTAAACAGTTTTCTATTCTCAAGGTACCTTAATATTTCCAACCCAAACATACATATTTTGGATGATTTTTGATTTGAATGATTTCGTGGACAATCTTAATCCGCGAATGCACATGTCCATAAAAAAAATACGAGCTTCATATAAAGTCATTCTCCGTTTGAGTAGGTACACCTAATCCACGAATTAATGTACGCAAGACAAGTTGTTGTGTCGAGAAACCACGAAAGTTTGGCCGTAAGAAAATCTCTGATTTAACAGTAGTAACATTTCTTTATTCATTCACCCTTCTTTTTTTATTTCTTCTATTTGTCCGTTTACTCCGGCTTTCCTACACCAAAAATATGTCCTTAAGTAACTTTAGCTGTCAATTTGACGTAGCAGGCTGAACTTATAGCACTAACAAACCTAACCAAATTACCAAACCTTTTAAATAAATGTCAATTTACTCAAATGCCGAAATGCGACCAAATTTTACTATATCTTTGCTTACATTTAGCGCATTCAAAAATTCATTAAACAAGTGACCATTGCATAGATTAAAAATACCCCTTTATTTAGAAAAAATGCTTTGTCTTATTGTCTTACAAATGTAGGACTGAACTGTACCATCCATTGAAACATGACACATTTAATACATACAACGACAATGTATCTATGATATGCCCTGATTTCAAGTGTACTGTAAGAGGTTAAACAGTGTTTTGTATTTGGAGCTTGTGACTTTATCACCTGGGAGGTGAGAAATTTGACATATGACCCGTAGATTTAGTGCTGAGTAACCAACGTCATCCGTTTAAACATTTCCCTCTAATGTCAGACCATCACTCAAACAGTCGTTGATACATTTACATAATACAACAAATCGTTCTGATCCATCCCTAAAACAACGCTCCAAATATACATTTTACCCAAATAAAATAAAATAAAAAATACAAACTTTGACAACCATCAAATGATTCCTTTATTTATCTTATTTATTCATTTTCTGTTTTGACGCTTACCCTTTCGGAAACCCTGATCTTATTCTCTTTGTATTTTTGCAAGCGTTTTCATATTCATATTTTTTTGTGTTCAAATTTGCTATATTTTATCGGTTTTGAGTTTGAATTATGGTTTCGATGACACCACGGTATTCTCCCTTTGCGGTTTTTGGACTGAGTTCCCTTGCATATTCAGGTTTTTTTTTTTTATATACAATTACTGTTCATTGGATAACATAATTCTTGAGATCGACCTAAAATTGTATATAAATATCGGATAATATGAACCATGAAATTGTGAGGGAAGATTTGTCCAAATAAAAAAAAGGTGAAAATATATATGAAACTGAGGAACATCTAGAGAATATATTTGTATGAACTTTGCAACGAACAAAAAACTTTGGGGAAAAACCCGGAAACGTAAATCCTGATGCAACGAGGAGCAAGGAAAATAAACTTCGTTAAAAACCATAACACATGTTTTATCAATATTCAATTCTGTAAACCAAACATTTGATCATATAATTATTTTTATTCAATAAAACTTGATATTGTTGACATAATAAGATATGCTCGTAATCATCAATATGTTTTTATAGAAAGTGATATAAGTATCGATCACTAGTGCCAATGCCTATAAAAAACAAAGTGTGATATTAAATGTTATAAGTTATATATTTATATTTATATGACTTAATTTCCCCCCAAACAGCATGCTTAAAATAATTTGTTTAAATAATTTGATAATAATGACATCACCGTATCTTAAAAAACAGTTAGGCTGCTTAACAAATTCTCATTGTTTGTGAAAAGGTAACAAGTACACATGAAATCTGATCTTGGTTGTAATTTAAGTTCTACCAATAACAACGAGAAAGATGATACAAAATCAATGCTCAAATCTACCATCATACCATGAGAAAACAATCCAGACGTTAGAGTTAATTATTTTTGACAAATTCACAATAAAGTCAAAATACTTTAGCTTTGGACAACATATCGGTCATCATTTTTAAATGTGTTCTGATGAACTTTGGAATCATGTTTGTTATCGTTTTTACCGTTCCCTCAAATCTGAAGCTTTTTTGAAATTTTGAAATAGGAAAATGTTATTCCAGATTGTGTAACTGGCTGCAAAAATGATTTCTCAAATTGTCGCCTTGTTATAAAATATTTGACAAATTCTGGAAA